TCCTCGAGTCGCTGAAAGTATGTCTGTGAAAACTGAAAGCTTAATTGAAGGTGGCGCTATGGGATTCAAGCTCTAAATTGCTTTTAGACAATGGTATGACTCTTGCTGTATATGTAAGCGATATTTTGATACATATAAAAATACTGACATGTATGATATTGCTTACATCACGATCACTGGTAATAACAGCACTGATAACATCCTAAAAATGCTAATAAAATTTTGATATTGAAAATGTATTTATTTTATTTTTACTATATTATGTTTTCATTTTACAATTCATAACTGTATGTCTTTATGATATAATATGAATATGAATTATGTACGCATTAAAAAAAAATAATAATAAAAAAAAAAACAGCCAAGAAATAAATTAAGCATTCTTTAATACGTTACAGTTTACTCAATATATGAGAATGACGAAAAATATTTGTATTCGGCGACATCTATCGAAGTAACACAGCACTGCCATTTTCTTTATGTGGGCGGAGTCAAGAAATCCCATTAGCTTTGTCACAGGTGTGTAATCTACTTATTCATAAGTTGTCGGGAGAGCTTTGACGTGCATGCTAGAGGGATAGATAGATAGATATAGAGATAGATATGGAGAAAGGGAGAAAGAAAGAGACAAAGGCTTATTCCCCACATGATACAATTCGTAAACTTACTTTCGACGCTCTGAATTTGCAATTGAAAGCAAAATCATACGAAAAAATATTTGAATCCAAACTTACGCACAGGACTTCTTGGTGTTTATGGGAGAAATATACACGTCTCTCCATAAACATTTTTTTTTTAGCAGCGCCATAAAATACGAACACGTATTCTTAAAAGATCAGCAGTGTGGCCAAACATCGGCTTCGCACCACCGGAGCTGAGGGTCATTAAGAGTGAGAACCTCTGTGATGTGGCCCATTATTCGGCCGTTTTCAAGTAGGTGCCAAATCATACCCTATTAAGCGGCCATTAAAGACAGGGGTTTCCTTCATTAACTGAATACATTTTAGGGATTTTCACGTGTGTGTTGGAGAGTTGGTTCTTCGTCCTCCTTTCACTGATAGTCGAGTTTTGAGCATTAAAGACGATGGTGACTGTGATAATGAGCATAATGTTGATATAATATTAATTAGAATGGTGATAATAGTTCTTGCAGTCGTCGTAGAAGCAATAGCAGTAGTAGTAGTAATGATAAGAATGATAATGATAATAGTAATGAAAATGTATGATGATACACATAATAAGGATAACAATGATAAGTAGGAGCAATGGCAGTGATGATGATGGCCTTAAATCAATAGATAATAAGATTGATAAACCAGAAAATAGCATAACTTAATGATCTGTTTAATTGATAATTCCTTTCTGCTGTATGTATTTCATTTTCTTTCCCGATTCGCTATAGGAATGTTCGGTTCCAAATGAAGGATAATTTTTGACAAGTAAGACAAATTAAAATCAAAGGCTATTAAATGAATATCTCAATAAATCGGTGAAATGTGCCTGGTATTCGATATTCGAAAGCATCACACAATCCAATCCAAATAATCCCGGTGACTTTGGTGATGGATAACTAATTTCTCCGATAACTGCCAGCGATAACAGACGGCTTAAATCTAAAAGGGAATATGTCAGTCGATTAAACAAAGTGAAAGTGGATGCTGTAAGATGTGTCAGATGTCTTGCTTCACGAGTTTTGCTCTTCCCTTGACAGAAAATCTAGAAAAAAATAGTTTCTAATTCATTACCACTATCATTATTAGTATCATTATCATCCTTATCATTAACATCATTGTTATCGCTATATCATAATATTATTATTATTTTTGGTGTTGTATTGTTGTTTTATTATCATTATTATTTCATTATCATTATTGTTATCATCACTAATAGTATCATCATTATTATCGTTACTATTAACATTATTATTGTTATTATCACTATTATTGTTATTGTTACTATTACTATTCTTCTATTATTATTATATTATTATTATTATTATTATTATTATTATTATTATTATTATTATTATATTATATTATTATTATTATTATTATTATTTATTATTATTATTATTATTATTATTATTATTATTATTATTATTATATTATTATTATTATTATTATATTAATTAATTCATTATTGTTATTATTGATATTATTATTTTATTATTTTTGCTATTACTATTATTGTTATTATTATTCTTACTATATTTTATTATTATATCATTATTATTATTTTGTTGTTATCATTACTAATGTTATTATATTATTATTATTATTATTTTTTTTTTTTTGTTGTTATCATTACTAATGTTATCATTACCATTATTGTTATCACAATCATTTTTGCTATCACTATCATTACTATTATCATCATAATTACTATTAATACCATGATTATTCCCATTATTATTATTGTTATCATTATTATCATCATCATTACTAATATAATTACTATTATTGATATTATTATTATTATAACTATTGTTATTATAATTATC